TTTTATTTTCCGATGGGCATGCCATTTTAGTTCTCTGTGCTCAACAGAGTGGGCTGGCATCCTATGCCTTTTGATACTGTGTCTGGTTTTTCTAGATACGCAAATCACTTATTCTGGACCTAAGGTCTTGTCGAGAAAATTATAATAAATAATATGCACTGTCAACAATGTTTTCAAAGTCCTTGTCAATTACTTGGGAGTAGAGTACGGTCAACCGTATAGTTAGTTCAATTGTAAATCAATTGTTGAAAGTAGTTATATATATTTTTTTAGGAAAATGCTAATTTCTAGCCGAATTATTCCTCTTGATAATTTTCTAATAAAAAATTGTCACATTAACTTTTATTGACTATATTTAAGAGTTCATATCAAACTAAAATATCTAATAATGACTTATATTAAAATGAGAGAATCAATTCTCCATCGAAATGTGATTATACTCTAAAACACTTGCTAGACGAGGTCTTTCAATCCGAATGCACTTGGTTAGGTCTTGGGTTTTTGACCCAATTGCTCTAATCCTCTCCAATATTGAGTCTCTTTTGAGTATCTTAGATTGTGCCATCGTGGAGCCATATTAATAGAGAAGCAAATCGTGTCGCGCATTGTGCTGTAGACAATTTCGATATCAATACCTCATTTGCATGGACATATTCCATCCCTTCGTTTTTCTCCTATCTTGTAATGGGTTCTATGCCCCGAATTTGTTGATTGAATGTATCAAGAGTTTGCCGATAATATCACCACCTTACACTTTTTGACAATTCTAACCAAATTTTTTAATATTAGCAAACAAAGCATAATACTTGGACAAATTCGGTCTACATATTACAACCAGAACTCAAATCCCGTCGGTAATCATATTCTTACTTAATGACGTGGTAAAAAAATATTAAAAAGGAAAAGAATAAAATTGTAGGGTATTTTAAGATTGAGAATGGTTCCGCCTCCGTCACGACAATCACATCCCCAATTCGTGGATCGACAAGCTATAAGTGGCGAGGGACGACGGTTTGAATTTGGAGATTTGGGGATGGTGATCTGAATATCATCAATTTACGGTTAGGGTTAAAAATTTAATTTAAGGATTTTTTGGTGGGAAGAAGACGATGTCCACACAAATACCATGTCAGCCAGAAGATTTGTTCACGTAAGAGCCAACTCAGGCACACTGACAAAAATATCGTCCATGGAATTTGTGTTTGGCTTGAAATATGTGGACAAAATTATGCTTTGTTTGTTAATGTTCAAAATTTGGTTAAAATTGTCAAAAAAATGTAAGAGTCTGATATTACAACTAGTGGAGCTCGAGAGATAGGATGCGAATTTGTGTTGTAAATATATCCCAAAAAATATGATAATATTTGGAATTGTATACTTTGGGATAAGATATTGTCCTTTGTCCGACATCCTTTTACAACTTCACATTTGGACCGTGAAATGAGTTTGGAAAGATTAACTCAGGGATTTGGGGTTTTGTCTTTTTAAGGGTCAATGCAAATGTGATATGATAAACACCTTTTCATAATTTCATCTTTATCTTTGATCTTTTAACTTGATGAACACCTTTTCATCTTATCTTTTATCTTTTATCTTAGGACTTTGAAATTAGTACAGATGCACTGTATATTAATAATAGATAATATTTATTTTATCTTTTAACTTAGGACTTAGGACTAACAAAAATGATTCCAGCTTTAACTTTATGACAAATGGAAATAAAAATTTGGATACACAAACAAGCCATAATCACATAAAAACAACTCCACACCACAAATTCCCTTCTCCCATTGTGAAGAAATAAAGCATATTCAACCAACCAGAAAATAAAAAAATAAAATAAATAATAATAATAATAATAACAAAAATAATAATAATCAAAAGTCATATTTGCAAACAAGCCCCCTAAAAATCTCACACATTTTCAATTTCCTGCTTTTCTTGCTCTTCTTCTTGCTTTGCCTCCTTCAAGCCACCCCCCACAGACTCTTCCCCAAACATTTCATCACTTTCCAAAACACCAAACTTCTCCTTACTATCCCCTCTCAAGAGCTCAACCACCTCGAGCATCGTGGGCCTTCTCTCGGGCTGACTATTGGCGCAAACAAGCCCGATCAAAACAACCCTTTTCATCTCTTCCTCCGCGTACTTCCCCTTCAGTCTTGGATCCGCCAGCTCATCGAATTTCCTCTCGTGGACCAACGGCAAGGCCCATTCAGTTATGGGCCGCCGAAGGCTTGGGCCCACCTTCTCAAGGGGCTTGCGGCCCGTGGCAAGCTCGAGCAAGAGGATTCCAAAGCTATAAACGTCACAAGCCTCGGAGGCCTTGCCAAGCATGGCGTACTCGGGAGCAAGGTAGCCGAGGGTTCCTTTGATTTGGGTGGTCACGTGGGTTGCACCTTCGGGTACAAGCCGTGCAAAACCGAAGTCCGCAACTTGGGCCTTGAAGCCCGAGTCTAGGAGAATGTTGCTAGCTTTAATGTCACGGTGGATAATGTGTGGGGTCGCTTGGTGGTGTAGATATCTAATAAGAAGGAATTAAGGCCTGATTGGTTATAAATTATCTGGAAAGATAATTTTTTTAACTCAGAATATGACTCAAATTTAACTCAAACCTAATTTTCTTCAATGTTATCGATATAATTAAATAATATCAATCAATCATCCTCGCGCATCACATTAACTTTAATTCACTATTCCTCCACTCACATAATTTTAACTACCCATCACTTCCAATCAGCCCTCAACTACTTTTAGACCAGATCAACTTTAACCTTTAACCAGTACATTTTAAATATTATTTTAATACAAACTAAAAATCCAACTCAAACCTAACTCAATCAACATTTTTCAAAATTAACTCAAATCCAATCCAAAATAACTTATATCCAATCACCCCCTAAACTTTTCAAAAATGACCAAGAGCTAGTCTCCAAAAGACATTCTAAGTTAGAGTATAGAACCTAAATGTATAATTAAAGATTGAGATGAAATTGTGAAAAAATTGGTGTATTTTAGTGATCAACCCTACTTTTAAATGAATCTCAGTACTTACGCAATGCCCTCACTGGCCCCAATAGCGATTTCCATCCGCCTGGGCCAGTCGAGATGAGACTCGGCCGAATGCTGACCGTGAAGATGAGACATCAAGCTCAGATTAGTCATGTAATCATAGACGATAAGACGTTCTTGCCCTTCCGAACAATAGCCTCGTAAAGTTAGCAGATTCTTGTGCCGCACATGAGCAAGAACCTCGACTTCAACAGAAAACTGCACCTCTGCTTTGTTACTCCATGATTTTAGCCTTTTTACAGCTATCTGTTGATGTATAAATAAAGTGAGCAAAATAAAATTTAAGTATATGTAATCAGAGAAAGCAAATAATGGAAATGAAACCCATCTTACCCAGAAAGGAGATACAAAAGAAACTTATTAAAATCATTAAGGAATTAATATTCGCATAATGATAAGGGGAAAATCTGCAGTAACTGAGAAGGGAAAGGATAAATGTGATAATTTCCTTTACAATTTATTTTATTTAATTCTCGAATATTTACTGGATTTCAAATTTTTGCCATCATAATTGGTAGATCATAGTTACTCAAAGTTTAGAAAATTACTGCATAGAGTTAACCAGCCAATGTCATACTTTAACCAAGAAATAAAACCAAACTCGATAACTACTATGATTGTATTCTAAACATATGATTTCATCATCTTTAAAATTTAGTCTGCACAGGTCAGAACAGCACAAGACTGTAGATACAAAAACAAGAATACCTCTTTTATTCTTTATCCTTCATTTTCGCTTCCTTAACTAAAAGATGGAAAAACAGGAGATGAAATTCCGAGGAATCAAAGCATTTTGTGGGACGAGACAACCATCAGTGACTATATGGCTATAAAGATGTAACAATTGACTAAAATCGGTTAAAAGGTACAAGCATGAAATGAACATCAAAACTACTAGCAACAAGCCATTATTACGGTTCTAACACGTCCCACTTCACAACACCAATTATAATCAGTGTCTGAATCTAACATTGAAAATTTACTTAAAATCAAGGTAAAAACAGAACCATTCTGATATCACAGGACATAAAATCATCAATTTTTTTTAAACAAAAATGAATATGAATTCGGTTAGGTTGCAAGATTATCTTACTTGCGAACCATCCCAGAGCTGGCCCCAGTAAACACTGCCAAACCCACCTTCCCCAAGCTTGTTATCATAGTTGAAATTATTTGTAGCCAACTGTAATTCCCTCAAAGAGAAAATCCTCCAAGTTGTCTCCTTTTTCCCTTGTTTTTTTCCCCTGTTAGAAAATTTAAAAGGACTTCACTTTATCCACCTTCAACTGAAACATACACACCGCACTCCATGGAAAGAGAGAGTGAGCCTAGAATTGGCTTCTATGATATTACCAAGATCAAACAAATATCAAATGATATGTATATATTTGACACACATAGACAAACTAAGGCATGCTTTAACTAGTACTTTTCAACAAATTCAAAAACCAAACGGTCCAAACCCAATCAAGAATTAGCAGCTTGACCAAAATGAAATAAATTAATAATAAACGAGAAGAAATTTGCAGTTAAATGAATTTCCAACAATCCCATATGCCAAAGTTACTGAAACTAACAATTTTTTACCAAACAACACAGCAAAACAACATACCGATCTGAACCCTTCACACAGCAGAACATTGCGCTAAACCCCATGGGATCTTTTCAACACCCCACGAAGCAAACTCTCGGCTTTCTCCAATTTTTCACCACTTTTATTTCAATTATTTATGCTCAGCCGCAGCCGCCATCAAAATCTCATCATCTTCGCTGAAAAAGGCCGCTCCTTTTTTTCTTCTTGTTTCTAAAACTAAGGCAACTAGCTTTATAAAGTATAAAATAAATAATGTGTAGGCAAGAAACTTGAACACTTCAATTCTCCTTCACAGAAGGGCCCTAGTGACGAAAGCAGATGTTTTGCCCGTTTGAATTAAATGGACTCGAGAAATAATAAATAAAAGAATGGGTTGAAGTAGAAGCTGTTGAGAAGCAAGAAATACGAATGTACGACAAATGTGGAAAAGGGCACAACTTTCTTTTATTCATTAAATGCAACAAACGTGAAATGTCAACTTAATCGGATTGATTTTTATAGTTCTAAACAATGGCTATAAGAGTCGACCAATATAATTTATAAATAAAAATATATACTTATATTATTAAATATTATATTTTCATTTATTCTAATTTTAAATATATAATATGTTATAGTGAATATATGTATATTTGTTGTGGTTACACTTCCCAGCAAAATACAAAGAACAGAACAAAAAAGTTGAACGAAATATGGGTTTGCAAGAGTTTGGAATATTAGTGCCCGTGGGCCATTGCGTGTGTCCTTTTCTGTGTTATTTTATTAAATATTGCTCCACATTTGTTTAAAAAATTGTTGGATCCCTCCTTGAGTATTTCAAATTTTCTCTTATTTTCCTTTTCTTTCCCTTTTTTTTTTTTTTCGGANTATGGGAATTTTCAGTACAGTCGCTCTTACTGCAAATCTTACTTCGTACACCAGACTTGATTTTATAATTTATAAACCACATCTGTAAGGATGATGTCTTTTCTAATACAAGTGCACACTCATAATCGAAGCTGTATATATTCAGTACTCACAAATCTTTGATCCACACATCATGTAGGTCACACATACAAAACTGTCCGAAAATGCATGAATACAATAAGGCTGCACTTAGTTTGTAGCACAATTGCACATAGTTCATGTTTTTGTTTTCTAATTTTCTTCCCATTAAAAAGGGAACAAAAAACAAATTGGATCAACAAGAACTATCTATCTCAAACTTTCTTCACCTCATTTGCGGTGGTTTCTAGTTTTTTACACGGTCACAGTGAACAAATAGAATTTCAGGGCCAAAGCAAGAGCAAGCTGCAACAAGAAGATAGCAGCCACAATAAGGAACCAACGTTCTCCGGCAGATTTGATGTGATTTCTGAGGTTTAGGGCCACAAACGAGGCAGACATGAAACCAGCTACACCGGCAATGACCCACCGGAAAATCTCCTGAGGAATAACCGATAAACACTGCAAGCAAATAAAAAAAGCATCGTGTGCGGCCTGATTAAATCTTGATGGAAACCTCCGGATTAAACTAATCTAATTACAGATACAAATAGTGAGTGCGATATTTGTTTCTATTTTTTTTACAAATTTCAGCCTCAATCAGGGGTGCTTTATTGTTTAAATATAATTGGTTTTTAGTAAT